CGCTTCGCTGTTTATGGGACTGTTATACACCCTTTGTTCCCATAAAAAATAGTCGAGCGGAGTCAGATCAGAGGAACGCACCGGCCACCCAACAGGTCCTTGTCGGCCGATCCAGCGGCTCGGATAATTTTCGTTCAAAAATGTCCTGACAATTCAGGAGTAATGGGCAGGGCATCCGTCCATTTGCAGCATCATTCTTCGACGCGTTAGCAGCGGCACATACTCCAACAGCAACGGCAATTCGTCCCTTAAAAGTTTAAGAAATCTCTCTCCAGTTAGGGTCCTCGGGAGTATAATTGGACCAATCAAAATGTTGTCAATTACTGCGGCCCACACATTTAATAAGAATTTAACTTGATATGTTGAAGCCCTTTTCTTAGCTTAGGTTTTTCACCTTTTGGACACCACTTATGTAAATTACGACAGTTTACGATTCCGTCTCTCGTGAAATGAGCTTCATCCATCCACAAAATTGTTTTAGGGTATTCGGGATTGTCCCTTGTTTTTCTTAAAATCCATGTGGACATAACGCACCTTGGACGCCAATCCAAATTTCATGTAATTGCTGCGGCCCACCCTTTGATAATGGTAAGGATGCAAGCCTTCTTTCCTCAAGATGCGCCATACTGATTTTTGGGACACGCCATGACGTAAAGCCAAACGTCTAGTACTAGTAGTCGGTTCAGCAAACAAATCATTCAAAATGGCTTTCTCAATAGCAGTATCAATCATAACACTTGGTTCGCGGCTATCTCGAGCAAAACCAAGTCCAGTGTTAGCCAGTCTTCTATGGACTTCCTGGAAGTTACGGGGTGATGGCACAGGGCGTCGATTTGGAAACGCAGCTAGATAAGCTGTGCGAGCAGCTCTAGCACTCCCCCGGTACATTCCATAGCAATAACGGATATCGGCGATGTGTGCCGGAGAGAAATCAGTTAGGTCCAAAATCATCGCGACCAAAAAAGCGAACGCGTGGCGCGATAACGACTTTGGCAGGAGAAACACGAATAGCAGCGGCGAATAGTTCGGAGCGACTAAAATTCATTCATTTGTCCTTCGACTGGACACACCTCCCCGCACTCGCACCTACAGCCCGCCCGCATCTACAACGAATGGCATCCAAAAAAAAAGGGTCTCTACCTGCCTGATAAACAATGGCGGGTGCGTAGCTAAACGATGCGCAAACGCAAGGGCTTTTTCAAACACTCTTAGAAATGGTTGCATTTGAGTTTGAGTAATAAACGTGCAATTTTTACCATCACAAAGCTAATACGATGTAGAATAACATAAGATTAAAAAAAAAGTAGGATTAAGAGGACGAAGTTATTGTAAAAAAGATGAAAAAAATACCAGATTTTCATCAAATACCTCTTTATTCTAATTTTATGGCGTTTCTTTTTTTGGAATTATTTACTTTATTGGTACGGCTTATTATTAACAATCATTTAAAAATTTATTACACTTTGATAGGACATTCAGTTTAAAAGTTATAACAATTTATTTAAATAGGGTTAGCAGCTGCAATTTCAAATTTTAAAATATTCATAAAAAATAAATAATTTTTTATATTTTTTTTAATAATTTTTCCGTCGATGAAATTATATGTAGTTTCCCTGGTTTTGATTTGTGCACTTTATAAAGATTCACACTGTATATATTTAACATACACGATGTAAAAGCGTCTATTCTGCAAAATACAACACCAAACCAAATTAAATATGTCCACCGGGTTACCGGAATGATAAATGAAAGCGTCTATTTCGCACAACACTACACAAACATACAATGTGGTTCCAGCATGAAAATCTAGACAGACAACAAGAAACAGAGGGCTAATCCAACTCAACCAAACTTATTGTAGCAATAACCGAAAATCACTTATAAACGCTGGTAGCCATTATGTCATATTGTCATAATATAAAGTTGCTACTTGCCAGTTCAAGAATAACCAGAATTGGTGTAGTCGCCATCTAGCGCACCTTTTAGAATTTAATGTTCGAAAGTTTATGCGGATATAGTACAAGATGGCACTAGTGTCCTTGCAAATTATTGAACCCCAACCTAAAGTACGGAAGTGTACCCCCCTGGTTTACGGTCTAACCGTCGTAGGCTAAGAAGCAGCACAATGATCGCGTATGGTTCAAACTAATTTAGACTCTAAGACAACATACTTATAGCTTATTTTACAAACACTGAAGTATGAAGATAAACAAATATATTTGCTTGTATTTCGTTCATTGCTAGCTGTTGTTGTGCCTGTTGTTTAATTTTCTGACTGTTATAATATATTAGTGTTCAGTTAGCTGTCTACCTGAGATGACAATAATACTGTTATCTGTTATATACGTAATGTTTTACATATTTGAAATGATTCTCTTTTAAAGCATGGGACACTCAAAGGATGCTAATACAACTTAAAATATTTTTTTAGTTTTAGTCTGTTTGATATTATCACATCCATCATAATCATATTTATAATCGTTATAACAGCATATAACAAAATGCTAACACAGCCGACAACTGAACTGAACTAACCGCGTTTACAACGTAATACTTGAAACTGTTATAATATATTATAACAGTTTAAAACAACAGTTAGAAAAATATATTACAACATCTTAACGAATTAGGAAAATATAACAGTTTCACCCACCTTTAGATATTTGTATGACTATTATTTCTATAGTATATTATGCCGCCTCCATTGGTAAATACTAAAATATATCTCTATACGGCCTAGCGATTCATTTTACGCATTTTGAGATGACTTTGACAGATGCAACGTCAAAAACGTTAGAATTTAGTTAAATGTACGTTCCATTTCACGTTAAGTATACTTACACTTCGACACTGCTCCGGCAGCAAAAATTGCATTGGGGTGCTTCAGATAGACCCACTTGAACCTCCCCCCCCCCCCCCCCCCAGTGACAGAATCCTCAAATTCAGGTGACTTATATTCAAACCTAACTCCCCATATTCCACAGGCGTGTATTTTATTCACATCCGTGGACCTGTTAGCTCGCAAGGTCACGTAATTTGACACTCCTGTTCGCTCGAGACCTTAAAATGGCGGAAATTGCAATTTTTTTGCTAACTTGCAAATTTTGTTATATTTTCACTTTGAGACAATATTTATGGATAATATATAGGAATATGATAATATTATAGGAATTCTTGTTGAATGTATAAACTATCGAATAAAATAATTTTTAGTTGATACCAATTGTAATAAAATTCATAAATTACCCTTTCATAGCATAATAGTAGTAGATACTTCACTTTTAGTAGTTAAAATACCAATAAAATAATTTCTACACGTTTGTTTTAAAGAGTATATCTTTGTCTATATCTGTATTATACATTTCAGTATATCTTTGTTACAGTTTATAACGACAAACCTTTTTTGTTGGGTTGGCTCGCAAAAATTCTTAAAGCACGAATTTGTGCGTCTCCCGAGTTAGCGTCGGGGCGTCGTGTCGGGCACAAATTCGTTCCCTTAACTACGTTACAGGTCCCCAAAGAGTATAATTACTGTCCTACACAGAAACTCAACCCCCAATACGAGTGAATTAACCAGGTGTAATCTTTCAAAATATCTGATGGTGTGCAGCGTCTTGTACAAAATGTATGAAGAGCTCCTTCCAACATTTTAATATTACAAATTTTTGACGTATCAAGAATTAGATAATAGTTTTCTTTACTTTTATTCCATAAAAGGTACGAATTTTCAATTGCATCTGTCGAATTGAGGATTGGATAGGGGTGGAGGGAGGGTTACTACCCCGCCTTTTTTCTGAGGAAGTTTTCCTCATTTTATGGATTAATATTATGTTAAAAAACTAGGGAGACCCCTTGGTGGGAAGGAGGTTCCCCCTTCTGGAAGGGGGGAACCCCCATTATCAGAAACAAATAGGGGGACTGATTCAGAGAGATTTCTGTATCTATTTTGAGACTGCGACATCTCCGGCGCTGCGGGAAGAGCAGCCTCTTCGCTTTTGCGTAACAAATCGCAGACATCCATCCTCGCCTCCGCAGCTTCGGCTCGTCCGATGACTACGATTTATTACTGCGGGCGGAGGCTGCTCTCCCTACGCGCCTTCGGCTCCATAAATACACTTTTCATTTTCAATGTTAGGTCAGAGACAGACTCGTACCAGGTGGTTTTAGGGTCAATCAATTCGGTTATTTGATATAAGTTAAACCTAATATATTATATTTGTTATCTGCCCTAATAGGTACTGTTAAAATAAAACAAATCATATATTATTAATAATTTATTAATCAAATTTAAACACATATTGTATTGCTCTATTAATTCTTCGAAAACATCAGTTTAACATTTCGTTCCACAAGCCGGCAAAAGACGGTAATTACCATAGACTTATACTGTACGCCAGTAAAATAATAAATGATAAACACTCACTGACCTCTATAATATATACAAGAGTATATGCAAATATGCAATATTCAAATAAAGTCAGTGATAAACACTATTATAAACATTTTAATTTTAATAAATCGTAATGAAAATAATTCTGTAGTTTAAATAAAAACTGTTAAATGTATGTGCATACATGAAAACTTTTGAAATTAGTACAAAATATAATTACTTACGTTTTATATACAAAATTAAATGTTATTATGTTACCGAACCGAACGTATGGCAACTAAACCGTACGTAAAGCCAGTAAAGCGGAACGTTCAATGGCGAGAATAACCATAGAGTGTATTGGAGAATAAATAACTGTCGTAAGGATTGACATAAATATTGCAATAGTAACTGATTTTCTATAATTTTTTCTCATAAAGTACGCGTCAATGTTGAAACTTTGCATGTGTGCTTATAATAATATAACCATTCTGTAAAAATCAACCGCCCAACTCGACGGAGGTCATTATAATATAATATGCTGAGCCCATAAAAATATTAATAAAAAAAATTTAGAAACCCAAAAATGGTGTATTTACATTTTCCATCGAATTTAACGGAAGAAGAGTTAATGCTGCAAGCTAAATATCAAAAATTAAAAAAGAAAAAGAAAGCTCTTCAAGCTTTAAAAGCACCAAAACAAGAGCCTGAAAAACCAATATTACCAAAACGGCCAACTGAAGCCCGTGATGCAAGAGAAATAGCACGGAAACTTATCAAAAGTGGTGCAATTCAACCTATTAAAAGCCCTCCTCCACAACCACAAAATGCTACATTTAAAAGACCGCGTGCAGGTAAAAACATAATTCCATTGAAAATTTTAAAAACATTCAAGTTTAAAAAAATCAATGAAGTCTATATTTAAGTGAAAAGCTGTGATTTCCTTTGTACCTATATCTTTTGTTAAAATTTTTTGGCCTGGATAGATGTATTCATTCACAATCAATAATATTGTTGTTGACTTCTAAGTAAAAAGCTTGATATATATAAGTAACTATTAGTATTATTGTTCATGATTATGTGACTTCTAAACAACTTATGGTTCATCATCTCAATATTAATAGGTTGAGAAAAAGTTTCTTTGTGTTTTTTTTTTTTGTATAAAATTGAAGAAAAATCTCTTTGATTGTACTGTTTGTATCAGGTTGGTTTTAATATCAATACATGAAGAAAAATAAAAAGTAAACAAGACCTTCCTGCCATTTTTTCAATTGTTTTTAGTCGGCCAAAATGACTGAATCTAACGAAGAAATTCAATACATTCTGAAGTTTTATTGCAAAAAAAATGCGACTCAAGCCGCGAAATAAATTTGTGACATTTATAGACCTAATTCAGTGTCAGGAAGAGTAGCACAAAATCAGTTCAAATGTTTTCAGTCCAGGAAGCAGCTTGCTCTAGTCACCCTCATAAGGATAAAGTCGATGCCATTTTTGAAAAAGTGGAGCAAGATTAGTAAGATGCAGGAGTGTACAAGCTTGATTATTAATGTGGTCTCTCTTATATAAGACAAACTAAAAGATCAATAAAAATCTGCATTAAAGAGTACATAGCTGATGTGAAGAATCAACACTCTGGGAAGTCTGCAGTCTGTGAACTCATACAGGATCGATCCCATCAATACATCACATTTGATAGACCACAAATTCTCCCTAAAAGCACTGATTCCTTTCAAGTATGATTTGCAAGGCTACTGAAATCAATACAAATCATCATTTCAATAAAGAAGATGGCTGGGTGCTACCATCTGCTTGGGATCCTATATGAGTAAAATTCAAGCATTTCAGTCCTGGAATTTTAACATCGGTGATGCAGCTCACTCTGGTCACCCAATCGTAGGGATTAAGTTGATGCCATTTTTGAAACATTGGAGCAAGATTGGCATATTAGTAGTTACGACATAGCTGAGGGAAGAAGCTCGATATTTTGGTACCACACCAGCTCACTTACAGAAACATAATGAATGGTGTACTCCTTTATAATTTTCAATTTAAACATAATGAAACTAAACCATTTTTGAAAAGTTGATCACTGGTGACAAAACCTGCGACAAGAATGTGTGAAAAAGATCATGGTCAAAGAGTAGTCAAGTTCCACAGGCTGTAGCGAAACCTGGACTAACACACAATAAGGTGATGCTGTGTGTATGGTTGGATTGGAAAGACATTGTTTATTATGAGCTTTTACCGCCAAGCAAAACCATCTATATGTTGGTTTTATGTCAAAAAATGAAAGTTGAATGTGAAGCTTATCATGGTGCCTATTACCGAGCTCAGTAATATGTCTGGCAAGCCAGCTAGCCAGTATTTGTAATACTTTAAATATTTTAAAATACTGTTGTATATATAATAAAATGTTCTTTAAATCATATTCATATACTTTACAGATTTATTATCTGCTAATTCTAAATGATATTTATATTATGTCAGGGTACTATGAAAAAAAAAATTAAGGACATATTTTAGTAGAATAAAGATAGCAAACAATGCTATCTTTATTCTATAAAAAATCCATGTACTTACTTGATTTAATACATTTAAAAGTTTTTAACTTATCACTTTTTCAGGAAGAGAGCGAAAACTCAGTGGTTCAGCTGGTGCAACTGGGGGAGTTGCTTCCTATCAACCATTCAGTGCTTCCCAAGAACCACCTCCTCCAGAAGAGAAGCCATCTCCTCGTGTCAAATATCTATATGATTCATTTGTCACTGCACGAGATAAGTAAGTATGTGAGGTCTTCAGAAACTTAGGGATTTAACCCATCTTCTTATTTATTTGCCTCTATTTCTTCTTCAATCTTGAAAGTACAAATCTGTTATACACTTGATCTGTTTGTATTTCCTTGATTTCATCATATCTTTATTGGTATCTTTAGTATTCTTTCTTTCTAGGTAACACCTGCTTCATTAACAGAAGCCTTTATTTCTAAAATTTCCCTCATAATTATATTTAAATATTTTACCTTTATGTGAAAAAATATACCAGTTCCGATATTAAAGACACACCTGTGAACTCAAATGAAACATGGAAGTATTACTTCAGGGGAATTAAGCGCACAACATTTTACAATACATCAAACATACTAACCATAGAATACTTTAATACACAATATCATAGTACTCTATGATACCAACACATTAGAACTCCATAACTAATTATTTCACTGTTTATTATATTTTATTACAACTTAAGATGCACAGTCATCAGTAAGTTGACCTTATTTCCCAATAGTTTTGGTCTCATTTGCTTTACATCATATGACAACTTTTATTATTTAACACCATTGTGCTAGTCACTCTAGTCAAGGACATTTATGTAATTAAGTGCAATACAAATTATAATACTGATACATATTATGATACTGATGGTATTGGAACTTAACTCGTTCAAAGTGCAATGGCTAAGGCTTGTAAATGAACCAACACAAATTGAGCTAGAAATGAGTTCATGTTTTTTTTCCTTATGCAACAGATAGCCGTTAGGCAAATTTTCTCATTTACAGACGTACTCAGATATTTTAAGTAAATGTTTATTATTTCAGAGAGGAAAAAGGAGTTCGTAATCAGAGTGGAGGTGATACTTCTAATCCTAGTGGGGGAAAAAGCTGTACAATGCAACTAACAGGTGCAAACATTACAGAAGAAGTGATAAGGCGCAGATTAACTACATTTGAGCCATTTACGTTTACACTAGAGGAGGAAGAAAAGTTAGTAATACCACATATTATTTATTTCCTTCTGAAATAGAGCATGCATATAGTTGGAGTCCTATTGCGATGTACGACAGTGAATTTGCGGAATAAAAATGATGCATGTGCCAACATTAAAAAAAAAAACAAAAAACGACGAAAAAACTGCGGTTGCCAAGCGAGGCAACTATGGCAATATACCCCTCATGAGAAACGACGCAAATAGACGGCCCCTAGTGCCTGGCGGCCCCGCTATTCCTGGCTATGGTGGCAACCATGGTAATGGCGGGGCAGGGAGTGCTAGGAATCTCCGGTGGAGATTCGGTTGCCACCTACGACGACTTGACCTGGCAACATATAACACACGCACCATGAGGACTGATGAGAAGATCCTGGAGCTGGAAGAAGAGGTAGACAAGTTGCGCTGGAATATTGTTACGAGCTTAGGGTTCGTGACAATAAAAATTGCCGATTGAATTACCGAAATTAACACTTTAATTCACTTTACACTAATTAAACTTAAAACACTAATAATTAATCACACTGATTCACTTTATTCCGCTCCGAAGCTTCGCTTGTCTCGCCAAATTCAATACTTCCCCGATCGCACCTTGCAGCGCCTATAAATACATTAGCATTACGCATTACATATATACATTAGCACCGAAACATCCAGAACATTCAAGTAAGTACGCGCGCCAATCGACTAAGCATCGAAAGTTCGAGTGTCGGGCTTCTAGAAGCTTAGTTCTTCGTTTCGACACTAGATGGCGCTAGTGCCGGGTACATGACGTCGACTTAGGCGCGTAACAATATTATAGGATTATCCGAAGTCCGAAGAGAGGGAGAGGACACAGTGATGCTCGAGTCCGGCAACTTGTTCTATCACTGTGAGGGCGACCATCTATCCCAACGAGGTGTTGGATTTATCGTCCACAAGTCTCGTTAACAACGTTGTAAAGATTGGGAGTGTAAGGACGAGGGTTGCGTACCTTATACTCAGAATCACCAAACTGTATTCGCTGAAGGTCATACAGGTTTACGCGCCACCCTCGAAACATCCTGATGAGGAGGTGGAGGAATGTATGAGGATATTTATAGAGCATGATTCCAAAAAACACACTATACGGTGTTAATGGGAGACTTTAACGCAAAACTGGGCACAAGAAAGAATGGTGAGCTGAAGGTAGTGAAATTTGGGATAGGGCAACGGAACCCAAGGGGCCAGTAGCTGGCCGACTTCATGGAGAGAGAGGCTCTTTATGATGAACTCTTTCTTCCAGAAGCAGCCCCACAGAAAGTGGACCTGGTCAAGCTTGAGATTGACTTCATTATGACGACCAGACGCCAACTGTTCAGTGATGTCTCAGTAATCGCAAGGGTGAAAACTGGCAGCGATCACCAAATGTTTAGGGGCACACTGAACCTAAACGTTAAGTTGGAGAGGACTCGTCTAATGAAGTCAAGACGCTCCCCTCATCATCTAATCCTGAAACATTTCAGCTCGAGTTGCGTAACCGCTTTCAGTGCCTAGAAAATTGCAATGCAGTGGACGATATGAATGACAAGCTCGTGGAAACTGTCCATACGGTCGGAGCTAAGTTCTGCAAGACCCACCCGCAGAAGAACACAAAAACTCTCCGATCACACTCTTAATCTCATGGCTGTTAGACGGGAGATGAGGCTGCAATCGTCAACAGATTTGACAGCATATAGGCAACTGAGCAGACAGATCTCCAAATGCATGCGGCGAGACTTACGCAACTTTAATACTGCTCGTATTGAAGAAGCGTTCGAGCGGAACCAGGGCTCCAAAGTCTTTGCCAGAGATTTGTCTGCCAGAAAGAGCCAACTGTCAAAGCTGAAAACTGAGTGTGGCAGCATCGTTTCTAGGACACCTGAGGTTTTGAGTGAGATTGAGAGGTTCTATGGGCAGCTGTACACATCATCGTTGTAGCCACACGCAAGTGTGAGTAACGATCCAAGAGCAAATCTTATCCGACACTATTCCGATGATATCCCGGACGTCAGTCTGAGCGAGATTAGAATGCTCTCCAGCACCTTAAAAACTCCAGGGCCCCAGGCGAGGATGGAATTACAGCGGAGCTTCTGAAAGCGGGTGGAACGCCGGTACTTAAAGTCCTTCAGAAGCTCTTCAATTCCGTCCTTCATGGTGGCACTACTCCGGAGGCGTGGAGCAGAAGTGCGGTGGTCTTGTTCTTTAAAAAAGGCGAGAACGCCCTCTTAAAGAACTACAAACCGATTTCCTTTCTGAGCCGCGTCTACGTGCTGTTTTCAAGAGTCATTACGAGTCGTCTCGCGCGCAGACTCGACGACTTCCAGTCTCCCGAACAAGCCGGTTTTCGAAAAGGCTTCAGTACCATAGACCACATCCATACCCTGCGGCAGATTGTACAGAAGACCGAAGAGTACAATCTACCACTTTGCCTGGCGTATGTGGACTATAAAAAAGCCTTTGATTCCGTCGAAATTTGGGCGGTGCTACAGTCCCTTCAGCGGTGCCAAGTTGACTGTCGGTATATCGAAGTGCTGAAGTGTTTGTACAGTAGGGCTACGATGGCTATAAAAGTACAGAACCAGAGTTCGAAACCTATCCAACTGCAGAGAGGTGTAAGACAGGGTGACGTTATATCCCCGAAATTCTTCACCGCTGCATTGGAAGACGTTTTCAAGCCACTGGACTGGAAAGGGTACAGTATTAACATCAATGGTGAGTACATCACTCACCTTCGATTTGCCGACGATATAGTCCTTATGGCAGAATCGCTGGAGGACCTAAGCACTATGCTCAATGACCTCAATGATGTCTCCCAACGGATAGGTCTTAAGATGAACATGGACAAAACAAAGATCATGTTTAATGTCCATGTCACACCTATGCCGGTAGTTGTTGGGAGCACTATGCTCGAAGTTGTTGACGAGTATGTTTCCCTGGGACAAATAGTCCACTAGATAAGTCCAACTTCGACTGAGAGGATTCAACTTGGCTGGGCAGCGTTCGGGAAATTACGACTTATCTTCTCGTCAGGTATACCTCAAACTCTGAAAACGAAATTGTACAACCAGTGTGTGTTGCCAGTGATGACTTACGGATCTGAGACGTGGTCCTTCACTGCTGGCCGTATGAGGACGCTCAAGGTCGCTCAGCGAGCTATGGAGAGTGCTATGCTCGGAGTTTCTCTGAGTGATAAACTCAAAAATGTGCATATCCGCAGTAAAACCAGAGTGACCGACATAGCCCAATGTATTAATAAGCTGAAGTGGCAATGGGCCGGCCATATAGCTCGAAGAACCGATAACTGATGGGGAAGAAAGGTTCTCGAGTGGCAGCCTCGTATCGGTAGGCGTAATGTAGGGCGACCCCCACTAGATGGGGTGACGACCTGGTAAGACATGCAGGAAATCGATGGATGCAGGTGGCTCAGCAGTGGACTTGTGAAGGGCTGTAATGATGATGATGTGCCAACATAAATTGATTCGAATATCTCGAAAATATGGCAAATTAAAAAAAATGCCATGCAGTTGTATTTTCATTTACGGCAATTACTGTTTTAAGCAAATACGTTGTTGGTAGCAAATACGATGTTCAAATCACGTTGACAAAGTGCGCATATAAATGATGACTGCGTTTTCTTAAAAGCCCTCTTACATTTCGGCGTTACGCAAATTTATATATTTTACTCAGTCGTTCGCTATATGTTACCGTGGTACCGTGAGTATAGCAACTAAACCATCTTGATCTTCCATTATACAAGTTTTCTTAGGATGGAGTTTGGTGGATGGAAAATTTTATTTTATCTAATTAATATATTATAATCTATTTGATATATTTTTCATTATTTATGTACCTTAGTGTTGATATAAGTACACATAAATATTTTAAGTGTTTCACAGTTATTGATTGTTAACCGATGTTGGTTAATAATCGATTATATTATCTTTAAACGGTAGCATAGTGGTATAAATATATAAATAGTATGGTTGCAACCAGTTTTAATAAATTAAAAATAACCAACTGTAACAATTTTTTTTAATCGGTACTTATGATCAATTACCATATTTTTTATTATAAAAATATTTGCCGTAACGGCATTGACCGTGCTTATCTCGAGTCAATAATTTCAGGCAGTACACACTTTTTATAAAATGCTTGTAACTTGGGTAACATATTCAAAATCCAAAATTGGTCGTCTTTGTAGATTTTTAGTACTTTTACTGCATAATCTGGTCCAATCCATATGGCAAGCATGCAGACATTTTTATTCTCCATTATTTTTTTCTAGATAGCATATTTCTTTTTTACGTTTAGTGACATATTGATACTTGTATTTATTTTTCCCCATTCCGACTGGTAAGAAAGCTCCGCTACAATCAAAATAACAATAATGAGTTAACTATCTGGTATAATAATAATGTGTGAACTTTAAACTAATTGAAATATACTGTACGAAAGTAAAAACTTCCAACGATTAAAGGTCCGTTTATATCTGCAGACACAGTGCGTTACAGACAAGTGTCGGATGGCAGACACCCACAGACACCGTTTATTTACATCTAGCGTGCCATAAGTGTGTCGTGTCAGACATCGACAGACACCGTCGTGGACGTCAGACGCAACCGCTCTCACTAGCAGTTATTGAATAATGAATAGCTTTAGTAGGAAAAGCACGTTTATTTTTGGAGAAAATGTTCAGACACTTCGCTGTGGAAGTTTTAGTAATAATTGCATTGTAGCGAAATAAAGTGAATCAGTGTGGTTAATTATTAGTGTTCTAAGTTTTAATTAGTGTAAACTGAATTAAAGAGTTAATTTTGGTAATTCAATCGGCAGGCTTTATTGTCACGAACCTCAAGCTCGTAACAGTATTTATATTCTTTTACAATTTCTATAAGCTGTTCGTTATCCATGGCAAAAAACACGTTAGCACGGTCCCGATACTCTATTCACACTGCCCGGCAGGTAGGCACAGACACGTACAGACATGAACCGCGCAGAC